AAGTAAAAAAAACACATTATTTTCCACATACTGTACATTATTGTTTCTCCTCTATGCCCCGCCTTTCTGAAACGCGTCGATTTTTACAAAGCTCATCGGTCTGAAAAGCGAGGTGTGCTGTGATTGGCCAGCTATCCAGTGCTTTGTGATTGGCCGAATACCTCAAGCGTGAGAAGGAAATGTTACTCCCCTCACCATACTGTTGATGCCGTGTCCGGCCGGAGCGACGAGACAAAAACATTAAAACCCATTACAAACGAGGCATTTGTTGCATCCAGTGGGGACATAATTACTGATTATAATGACTTATACTGTCTTTTTATGCGTTGCGTCGCTCTCTCTCGGATGCACTCGGTCTCTCTCGCGCACTGTCTGTCCCTCTCTCTCCGCGTTCGCTTCACTTTTGTCCAGCCCGGCGCCTTCTTTCTTTGCGTGAACATTTGAGCGGCGTTATGCAAATCTTCCCACATAGTGACGTAGATATGTGGGGGCGTGTTACAATGAGCCGTTTTAGGTAGGTGTGGTTAACTCTTAACTTTTATAAAGAATATCTCTTTGGATATGAGACTTTAGTCTGCAACTTTACAGATCTTTTTTATCCACCAAGAGCTTGTAACACTCCAAAGAGAAAGGAAAAATTGAAATCGCATCATATGACCCCTTTAAAGCAATTATTTGCACTATCGGCAACTGGCCGATTGTTTAAAAACAGCTGATGATCAGGGCTGATTATATCCTGTCAAACGGGGTGGAAAAATGTGTCAGACAGCAGCCTGAGTGAAGAAAATGTTTCTTGTGTCAAATTTAGGGCTGTCCAAGTTAAAGCAATAATAACGCGGGTTCTATTTGACCCTATGAATCACCTGTGGTTTAAGCCAGGGTTGCCAGATCTGCGGTTTTCCCTTCATCAAAGATTATTTGTAATGTGCTGCCTCCCATCCAATAATCGCAAAGAGCTTTGTGCTTTGTTACTTCTGATAAGAAACAAAGTCTGAGCTTTCAAATCCTGTACATTTTATCACAAAATAAAAAATATATGCCATTTTGATGCTCTTAAATGTGGCGTGACAGATCACATGAGTCTCTTCCACTTTATTACAAGTTACAGAATGAAATAAACATAAATGAACATCAGAAGGTACGTTGAAAGATGCAGTACAACTTAGTATCATGTCTCATGTAATCACTCAAACAGCGTTTCAACCGAAAGAAAAACATCAAACAAAACAGCTTGTGAACAATATATCGCTAAACGTTGCATGTACTTCAGTAAAGTCATCCAGTGTTCACAATGGGTTAGTTAGCTAGAAAAACACTAGAGGGAGCTTCTTTACTGTTGCTTATATATGTATGCTTGAATAAATCTTAAATTAAAAATTTTAAAACACACACACAATCGCTCTCCCTTTCACCTACTTCCCTAAACACACATTGCTGAGCTCATTAGCTTTCTGCCCTCTTGACCCACAATACTGAGATAAAGCTGAGGGTGCTCCAGGTATCCCACACATTAATACCAGCTATTCATCCGTACACTGCAGACACTACTGACTCAACAGACATCAGTAAAACACCATGGCTAACCTGGAAATTACAGTATAAGCTAACTGTGAGAGTTACTTAACTTAAATCCTGACGGACATTGTTGTGTAAGAAAAATCAAAAACAGACAAAAAAAAGAGAAACAGAAGCACGGAAGCAATCTAAAAACAACAAGCATGACGATTTGTTGGAATCATTATTGCCTATATTAAATGTGCAGTCAGAGAGTAGATCACATTTAAGGGCAATGAGCGAGTGGCCATAATGAGAGAACAGATGGTCAATACTCTTATCCTGTTTGGTATTCAGAGCTGTCAGTCAAACTTCAAGCCTAATGCAATTATAGTGTTGCACCGAACATTGGCAGCCCTAAAGGACCTAGTAGCCTTCTTTTTATTGGATACCCTCAGTTTCACAGGCAGATCATTAATTTAAAACTATCACAGACGTGTAGTTCAGCCAGGGGCCGCATGCATAAACCTTTAAGTACTTTCCATAACAACACTGTGTCCTAACCTGGTGCAATGCGAAAAGTCTGACAAAACATGAAACCGCTGGACAACATGCAGTTATTGTGTGTTGCACAAGATTTTGAACCAATGAGATTTCACAGTGGATGGGACTAACAAGTGTGATGTTGCAGTAGTGGAAATCAAGTGTGTGACAAAATGTTCTGTCACTAGTCATGGTTTACGCTTCAGTGTAAACGTTAGCATATGCTCAAAAAACATTGCATATTCATGTAATGAATGGTCTATATATACTGCATAGACTTTACAATAAGGTCTCATTTGTTAACATTAGTAACAATAAGCAATATATTTTACAGCATTTATTAACCTTCGCTAATAATATTAGTTAATACAAAAATTCATTTTCATGTTAGTTCACAGTGCAATAAAAAATGTTAACAGATACAATTTTTAATCCTAAAAATGTATTAAATGAACTAAGATTAATAAACGCTATAGAAGTATTGTTGTTAGTTCAGGGTAACTAATGTTAACTAATGCTAGAATCCTGACAGGGACCAGAACTAGAGAGATTT